GGCAATATTTACTTCGGCCACAAGAATATATCTACTTTAAGAATATGGAATTTTTTAACACATTGCTGGGATGATAACCAACTAGACAATGAGAAGCAAATATTTTGTGGTAATATTGAAACAGTTCCTACCAAGGAGAAAGCCAAGTTTCCTCAGCACTTTTTTCCTGAAGTAAGTATATTTAATTAATTAAATAAAGTTAATTAACGCAATAACATCAATAATTGATTAAAAAAAAAAAAAAAAAAAAAACAATATGAACGAACACAATTCTTCTAAAATATAACTCAAAATGGCAAATATTGAATGCAATTAAAGTAAATATAAATTTTCATCAATGAGAATTGAAGATGATTAAGCAAACCTAAGTAAGGAACCTGATATTATATAGCTGTTGTTGACGTCAAATAAAAGATTGATTTCAACATAAAAGTATGCAAATTTTCTTTTAAGTAAATGTAAATTTTAGTAGTTGTCTGAGCTTGACCCATTATTATTATTGTAATTGAAATAGACGACACAATTCAAAAACCAAAAATTTAGAGACACCATTTTCTTAAACAAGTTTTATGGATTTTCCATTAATTTTTATGGATAAATGATTAACTTTTTTTTTGTTTAAATCTAGTGTAAATGGTCTCGAAAAGGATTTATGCGAACACGATGGGAAATTAATGGCACAGCCATTGATCTAGTCAATATACACCTTTTTCACGATGCCTCCAATTTGGCTGCATGCGAGGATTTTCCATCTGTATACTGCAAAACAAGGAGAAGAGCCCTGATACATACTATTGAAAGGTAAATAATAAAATACTTTAACATCCACATTTTTTATGAATAATTTTTCACAAAGACACTGCTTAAACAAAAAATATATATTAATATTTCGAGATAATTATAATTTGTATTTTTTTCCAATTTTATTTTCAAAGATCAAATAGATATTTATGCGTAAGCTTACGCTTCTGTAGATTAATCTTTCTGATTTTCTGCGAAAGCATAAACCCGCCGTTTTTATATAGAATAAAAGTTTTGTTGATGTGCAACTAAGTATATTTCTCAACATAATATGAATGAAAGATATTTTCGAGCGTCACATAAAAAATATACTAAATCTCTCAATTAATTAAATCAATTTATCATCAATTAGATTTCACTTGGATGACAAAAATGGTTCCGTCCCCTTTTTCTTGTTTGGAGATTTTAATTTCAGATGTGACACAGCGGGCGTTGTGAAAGTAAGTTAAGTTTATTAAAATAGCTTCATCATATTATATGAATTATTTATTTTATCTTAGGAATTAACTACAAATTTAACTGCGCATCGTCTACAAAGTGTTAAAAATGAAAGCACTAAGATTAACTACCGAAACACAGATGGCAACAACATACTTACTGTAGGCAAAAAAGAATTTAGTCACGCTGATCATCAACTCAAATTTAAAGAGTTATGGGTAAATTCGCTTATATGGCAAACAATATTTATCAAACTTCACTTCCATTTCGAATTTTATATTGCATTAGTTGAAAGAGTTTGACAAGGAACTGGCACCACTTGCGGAGTTTTTGGTTGAATATCCAATCAATTTCATTCCATCATATCCCTTTGAAGAAGATCCCGAAATGCCTACCGATTATATGTCAACTAGGTGTCCATCATGGTGCGATCGTATCTTAATGTCTCCACAGGTCAGAGACATCATTGACACTGATGAATGGCAATATGACATGATTGGAGAGTCTGTATGCATGGGCGATCATAAGGTAAGAATGCTATTAAAATTAAGCGATATTAAGATTTAGTTATTTATTCATTAGACATTAGTGCTAACATAAAAGTAAAATTAGCATTAAATTAAGCAGTGGCTACTGGGGCCTTTGGAGATTCTTCAAAGATTACTTTGGAGATCAAAAAAACTCATTTCATGTTATAGGCCAAGCTTAAATTCCGAACAATTTAGGATTTAAGCACATTCACTTCACAAATATGCAGAAGAATAACTGCTCTTATTTTTGATAATGCTGTAATATGATTTGATTTCCTGCATGTAAGGGCTTATGTATATGTATATAAGGTATCACTCTGATATACGTATACGTTTAAACTACAAGTAATAATTTATTAAAGTGTTCTAACCAGGCAATTTTGATATGTCAAGAGTAATTTTATAACTCGCTAGTGAAATGAACAATCTATTGTAATATTTAGTATACAGTTTTTAACCAAAATTAATGACGTAAATTGTTTTATATGTATTGAAAATTTACCTTTTTATAATAAGTCTATTTTTCTTTATACCTTTATATTTCTTTTCTTTATATCTTTATCTTTATAAGTATGTGGGTTTTTCTATCTGTTTCGAGGTCGATATACACCTGGTAAACTGTGCTATATACTAAGGAATTGGTCACTATGTTGACGTGTTTATATGATAATGGGATCTTCTTAAAGAATTGACTATTTCACATTGAGAATACGTTACTTATGTTAATAATTCTAATATTTCTTTTCTTCTCTTCTTGTCATGTAGCCTATTTACTTAACTGTTCGTCTAAAGCCAAACAAAGGTACTTATAGATCATGTGATTGCAGTTGTACACACACAAATGCTAACAACAACAACTTAACATCACCCGTTAAATACACGACTTGTCCCTATATAAGCAAATTATATAGTCAAGTTATAACAGAAGGTAAAATTCTAAGTCATGAAAGAAAATCAAAAGACTGCCCCTTAGAATTTGCTGAAGGCCATTTAGCTGACTTCGCAAACAGCGCCAGCGGACACGATACAACTAATATAGAGAGTGCCTTAAGTGCTGGAGACGACGAAGCTAGAGATAAAGCCTCGTCAAAACATCCCAGCATTAGCATCAATTTAATTGATTCCGACAACATATATGTTTGTATGTGTTCACAAGCGTATAATCATGACTCTTGCAGTGCAGAGCTTGAGGCTCCGCATGAAAGTGCCATTTGCCCAATGTGCCGTAATCTGATGAAGAGGCAGCCCGCTGAACACCGTTATAGGTTGTTTTCCAATAGTGTAGTATTATCTGACAATATAATAGTCAATCAAATGGACACGCAGCATCTTAATACCTACGTCGAGAGCTCGCATATGGACCCGTACACACCAGAAAGCAATGAGTCCCATTCGCCATATCCTGAGCTGAGAAGCACAACCACAAGTGCTTCCAGTAATAGTTGCAAAAATGAACCTAGCATGGATGTCCTCAGTGAAGAGCTTGATAAGCAGTACGCAAATGTAAATGCCAATGCAAATGATGACTTATTTTCTCTACAATCAGTCCATCCACTTGCAAAGCAGCAGTCCAGAAACTCTGTTACTCCTGTACAATTAAAGTCACGTTTAGAAGATCTACAACGACAGCACACCTCTGAGAGGAGTGAGGTTGCCGTTGGAAAGGGTGATGTTAATAATGTTGACGCTATCTGCACCCCAAAGTCTCTTTCGAACAGTGCAAATCGCAATCCTAGCATTTTTTTTTTGTGCTGTACAATTCACTAATATAAGTTAATATATTTATATTATTGTTATCAGTTTTTTTAGTTGTTTTTATTTGACTAGTGTTTTATTTAATATCTTTACAACTGTTTTTGTTTTTTTTCCTGTGTATATAAGAAATATTAGCAAATTACTTCTTCGATATGATTCAAAACCTAATAACAATTACCAGTGAAGAAAATAATATGTATTAGGCGGGTGTGTTTTAATATTTATTTTTTTTTGCAACAAATTGAAAACGAATCTTAAATCAAATTGCTGGAAATGTATCTGTTTTTTTTTTCCAAAAGTAAAATACATGCTTGTATATATATATATATATATACAAAAAAAAAATTTTTTTAAATACGGGAAATGAGGTTTAAACTTCAACAAAAAAAAAAAGATTATCTACAATTTTTTTTTGATAGTCGTTACACCAAAGATAAATGCAGCAGTGTCCAACATTTCTTTATTTTTTTTTATATAATTGAGATGTCTGTATATTTATCCCCCGAAATGGTACCCCTGTAATATTATTTTTCTTATCAAATTAACCAACTTATTTTGATAAGAATGAATAACTGAATCTGTATAGCTTTATGAGTACAAGTCAAGACCAGCTAAATCTGATAATTAAGATAAATTATAAAAGATGTTATACTATGTTTAGGCTGCCTCCTTGAAAATACAAATTTGATTTGTACTTTATCAAAATGTTTCTCATATTTAAACAACTTTTCGCTTAGAAATGATAATATATTGCCCAGTTCTAAAATACCAATATACTTTAGGACAATTGAAAGATTCGATACCGAATGGTAGCTACTCTTAGAAACCGAAATAGCTTCCAGTTGATGAAATAAATAAATATAATTAAAATGGATTTACCAAATAGGTATATGTATTTTTGACATACATATATATATTCACTTAAGCTTTTATTTTATTATTTTTTATTTAGTTTTAATTATAATTATCAAAAATAAATTAATTCATGTTATATTTTTAATTGCATTCTGTTTTTATTTTGAGCGCAGCAATTCATTGCGCGGTATTTATTGTATCAGCTTTTTTTTTTTTTTGTATATCTTTGTAATAAGAATGTAATTGGACAGAAAACTGATTTTCTGTTGTTGTAGGTTCGACAAAGCCCACTTGCTTGGTCGAAACACTCGATTCACTCAAGACATTAATGAATCAAACCCTCGTGGACGAAAGTCTCTGGCGGGAGCAATCGAATGTGGATGACGCTGGTATTCCGCCGAGTCCGACAAGCTCCCGTTATGTTTTGGTCAAGGCAATATCCTCAAGCATCAATGTGCCAGGTGAAGAGAATTGCGTTGACAATCTGGAGACAGAGAATGGAGTACTGCTTAAAGAAACCACCGTCTAGATAGTCAAATGTCGCCAAATATCGCCTGGATAATACCAAAGGGAAATCGTATATTACATCTCCAAATATTACTTATATATATCGTTGTAATAATGTTGTTGTGTGTTAAATGAATATTAAATACGGTAACATCAAATTTATATATAGAACGGCGCCCAACTTAATTTAAATAACAATAAAACATTTAATTTGTTACATTTTATTTTTAAGGGAAAAGATGAGAAGGTTGGTGTTGAAGCTCAGGCTCTGCGAAATGTACGTAACGTCTCGGAATAAGAATTTAAACACTATTCGATGAGTTTTTTTGCCTTGAAATATCTGCGAAGGTATAGGACTTGCCATGTTGCCAAGCCAAGTAGACAGCACATACTGAATATGCTGAAGAACAAAACTCTGCTATTAGTTTTTTCTGAAATTCAAAACAAACATATTTATATAATACATATACAATAGAAGTAGTTTAGGATTTCTTTAAGGCTCACCATTTGTGTCCCGCATTTCCTCTTCTCGTTTGCGCATTAGAGCAAAATCACGTACAATGGAATCAGAAAGATCTTCTAGGCGCTTTAGGTCCACCTCAAGCGGCTTCAGTTTGGATGCTTCGCCAATCTTTTAATTAAAAAATGATTTCACTTAAGAATCCTTTCTTTCACTGTCTCTAGTTGAATACTTACGCCTTCATAGCTTTTAGTTTCAACACCCTTTTTAGTAACTAGAGAGACTTCTTGGCTAATTCCTCGTTGATCTGTTATAATAATTTAGGTTACTTTTGAACTTTGCGCAACAGAAAAAAACACATTTATTTACTTACGTGGTGGCACTTTTGAAATGAAGCAAATTTCGTACGCGTCATACACTTCAGACATAAAGCTGAATTTTCCTTTGGTAATGTGTTCTTTTTGTGACAATATGTGACCCTTGGTGTCGCGTGCCTATTGCAATTACAATTTATATAATTGTGTTTTACCAACAATCAAATGAATGCGAACTTACAATATAGTCTATAACTTGGCCGGGAACATCTGAGACTTCGTATTCGCCCATTACCAATTGGTTTGCTTGTATATCTTCCTTAAGACATTTCTGTGTGTTTGGTGGCAAGTGAAACATGACGCTATGAAGGGGCCAAATACATCCTAAGATTGTAAGAATAGCAAGAGTTGATTTAATCATTTTTGCGATTTTTAATACACAGAACAGCAGAATTTGACAATTGCTGCAAAGATGAGTTGGCCAAGGGATGGCAAAATTATTGATAGGCTATGTCGATTTTTCCTATCGATATTTTTAACAAGCGATTCTTGGCAAACCAAAATTAATTTATTTATCAATGAATATATATGTACATCGATATCGAAAAGCTGCTCCTCAAATTAATTTAAAATAATTTTAACTATATTATGTTACACTTCAGTAAACTTGTAAAAATCAAACAATACATATGTCAACTTTATTATAAAACTTCCATTAAGAAATAATTATATGATTACTGTTTATTGATATCATTCTTAATTTAAATAGCTTTATTATAGTTTAAGAATCAACGTCAAAAGAACATGAAAATCACTTCCGTTTTATCGGTACTTTACAGTATTTATAATTACAGATCAAGTTCATTCAACTTTAAAGACGAGGAGCAGCACTGTTAAATGACCGGGTAGTAAACGCCTATCAATACACTATAGTTAATATGCAAAACCAAAAATAAATTATTGCCTACAGTTTAAGGATATTTATTGTAACTTTTTTATTAATTTGTATAGTTAAAATAGATGTACTTTCTTATTTTTATTGATGTATTCGCATTTGTAGACAAGGAATGACAACTCTAATGCAGATGCAACGGCGGTAATAAAAATATCGGCTTCGGACGCGTGAATGTCTACCGATTGCTACTTATATGTATGTGTGCATCGTTTGTGTGTGATTTACATGTACATGTGTAAATGAGTGTAGTTCTATGTGTCGAAAATACATACTATAAATTATTAAAGCGTTTTAAACAGCAAATTTTACCTCCGTTGTGTTTATTTATTATTTTTTGGTAAGATATAATCCAATTAGAAACTTCAGACCTAATTAAAAATGATCAATACTTGCAGCTAACAAAGAAAGCTGAATTCGGCAGCAAATGTCAGGCGTGGATCAGGTAATGGCATTTTTGTATATATACATACGTACATTTATGTATGTATGCACATACAAATTTATGTATGTATGTGTGTTCATTATAATTTTAAAGGCTTAAAAAAAGTGAAGTTTTGTATACAAATATTTGTATTTTTATAATAATTCCATATACATATTTATGCATGTTCATAGCTATATAAACTCATTTCGATGTATGTGTGCTTAGAGAAAAATTAATAAGTATTCTCTCTTTATTTCAGAAAATATCCGGAACTGCAGGTACATGTATAAGAAAATCCGAGCTTCTCAAAATTGTTTCATAAGTCAATACATAAATTCACAAAGGCAAATATACGAAAATGTTGGATATAGTCATATTGGATTTTTACCTATCCTATTAGTTATGTGCATATATTTATTATAGTCAAAATGCAAAATTATCCACAAACCGGCAAAATGTACAATTTTGTTCATATTTGATTTGTTTTTCTTTTGAATGACTAAGCAAAATCCGTTGAGGAGCGTAATATACCATGGAGCCAACAAGTTGATGAAGCCTCCTATGAAAATCTATCTTCTCCAGCAAATGATGACAATTCTGGTAGTGTTCATTTAAATAAAAATTATCTAAACTAGTTCAATGATACTACTTCTGATTATATACCAAATGAAACAGGCAATCAAGGCTCAATGCAATTTCAATTTCCACCATTTAATGTAAAAGAGAATAACAGTTTACCACTGACTAACGCGGGTAAAGGACGTAAATCATCTCACAATGGTGAGTAAATATATTAATTATTATATAAAATACACGTCAAAAAAGCGATGAAAACAAAAAGCTATAGATTATTTATGTTACAAAACTTTGCCTACTTAAAGGTTTCAGATTTCTTCCTTTGTTTTTTTAGTTTAAAAGTAGATATAGTTCAAATAAAAGTTGGTAATATTAAAGGATTCTAAACTGATTAAGACAACAACCTACCTGGCATCGTACCCTATAGTATAACGCAATATGTGTGTAATAGGTAGAAGGAAGCGTGAACGACGTGTTCGTGAAGTCTCTGGAAACGTATTTTGTTTTTCAAAGCGTAAACTATATTTTATTGAGTGCTATAATTAGTATTGTTTCGATATATCATATAATTTGGCTATAATTGATATAAAAACCAATAAGTTTTTAAGCCAATAAGACTTTCCAATTAGTCTTATAGGTTTACTTTTGTATGAACGTACAATATACCTAACAGCAGATAAGGGTGGGCTTAGGATATATATACATTTGTAAAAAAAATACATTTATTATAAAAGAAAGACAATTGCTAAATAAAACGTCAAAGACAATGAGCAGGACACACATAATCAGAAGTGTAAGAATCATGCATCAATACTAAACCAAACCTCACCATACGTATGGAGGTAGGATTTGCATGATGCTTTTGATGACAACCCATGCAGCTACAACGCTTACGCATAGCCTTACTTTCGGTTACAATAGTCAAATTTGTCAGCAAAACAGTTGTCCCAATCAACAAAGCTTACAATAAAACAACTTAATTGAGAATTGTAATTAAATAGAAATAGTTCGGTGCAAATGTAGTTTAAAAAAGGTTCTTAATGTACCTGTTGCCGCAATCGGAAATATGAAATTAGATTGGTTCACCCAGCTATTTATGAAGACCAAGATAAGGATAAGAAATGCTTTACGCAGTCAGTTAAGTCATCATCTAATTGCTACAGAAATTGAAATATTTACATGCATTCTAGCTAATAATTTCGTCCGGTAAATAGTAATTGAAATAAAAAGGAAATTTGATACGCTACGCTCAAATAATATTTAAAGCATGATAAGTTAAACACCAAAAATAAATTTAGATATACCACAATCGAAACAAAAGATTTAGTTGAGGAATTTTACCGGCACAATGGCAACGAAATGTTGAATGAAATTGTTATATTCAATATGTTTAAAACAATTCGTTGCGGTTAGAGAAATTGCTGCATACCAAAATCTGCAAAGAAACCAAGAATAAGTATTTTTTTAGGATAACTATGGACGGATTAACCTTCGCTTTTAATATGTCTTCGGTCCAGTCCTCCTTAGCAATGCTTTCAATGGCTCTAATTAACACTCGCTGAACCTTATCGACATGCTTTTTGTACGTATATATTATCTCGTGAGTTGTTGCAATTGGCTGATTCGTGCACCAGCACTCTTTGTTGGTCACAAAACTGAGGGACGCGTATAGAATACCGGCTTCCTTGGCTAATGCGGCTTCTGGGCAGAGGGTCATGCTCAAGATATCTGCTCCCATGTTGCGGTACAGGTTGTTTTCCGTAACCGTCGAGTAACGTGGCCCTTCCAGGGTCAACACCGTTCCTTTTGAATGTACGGGGTATCGCAGTCCGCTGGCTGCGTTAATTATGTGTAAACGTGTCCGTTCACAAAATGCAGGAAACATGGGCAGATGGCAAACGCCAAATGGGCTTCCAACAGCTCCATCATAGAATGTTTGACTACGTTTCGTTGTGCTATCAATGAAATCGTGTGGCACGACAATGTCGCCACACTGAATATGCTCACGCAACGAGCTGACGGTGTGTGTTACCAGGATATGTGTGCATCCCAATTTACGCATTGCCCAAATATTAGCTCTGTAATTAATATTAGTTGGCATTATATCATGAAGACGTCCATTTCGCGATAGCAGCGCACAGTTGCAGTTTTCAATTTTCCCTTCAATGATAATATCGGAAGGCTTTCCGAATGGTGTGCAGACAGCACATTCCTGCCTATCCTTTAGCACAATTGGTGTATCGAGCCCAGACTCTCCAATAATCCCTATTTTAATCTCCTCTTTTTCTGCAGCAGGTAATTCGGTAGCAGGTTTCTCAGCTTTTTTTCCCTCTTTAGATTTTACCTTTTCGCCACCTTCTTCCATGGTAATTTTGGTTTAATTTTGAAGTTTCCCAAAATAGTTTTTATTTTTATTTAAATAAAATATAAACAATACATACTATCAATTTTGATTCATGACTGACTTCATACGCTCAGCTGTCGGAATAATTTTTTTTTTTTATTAATATTGCATATTTTCATGTATTAGGGTTTATAAGTTAAAATTCGTACGTCCAGCGTTAAATAAATAAAGATTAATCACAAGATTTAATGTTCTTTACTAAAGCTTTTGCGGCGTGTTGGACTACAGCGGATTGATAACCCTAATATTAAATTGAAAAAAAAAGAAAAAAACAAAAACAAATAACTAAATAAATTAGTATTATAAATTAAAATAATAAATTAGAAGACTTGAATAATATGCAGTCAATTTACTTACGTCTTTTCAGATACAAAGAAAAAACATGGGAATCCCAGTTCTTACAATTCTAAGCGCGACGATAACCATTTAAATGCTTGGAATTCCAGAAAACTTTTTACCGAAAGTTCTGCGCCTCCTGTTCGGGTATGTATTATCGTTCAAGCCTTTTTACGTTTAGTTTTCAAATTTGTGCTCTTATTTCGATTAATAGTAATCAGTTTACAAATCAATTCCCAACTATCAACTATCGTTGCGAACTGGATTACTTTAAGTTTATTTATTATAATTAAAAACTTAAGCTGATAGGTTGTCCAAATACCAAGTGGAAGAAGAATCTGATACTTTTTATTGATTACATTACTAATTTAAAAATCTACATTAGCTTTGGACAATCAACTTTTCATTCGTTGAGATAATTTAATATAATGCGCTGCAAAAATAAATATATATTTAAAATCTGAAACTAAGAAATGTGTATTGAGCCAGTTTAATTTAGAACTGATGTGTAAATAGTAAGAAAATGACTATTCTTAAGGACAGTAAATAAAGCATTGAAATCTTAAGTTACGCTCCTATCAACTTTGGTTCAAATCATCGAAGACTTAAGAAATTGAATACGTTATTATACGATATTAAATATTTTGTAATGTTTGTTGGTATCTTGAATTCAATGCACTAAGGACATTATAATTTTCTGTATCTAGATAAATCAAAACAACAATGGGCAATCATCAAAATTGGACAATCGCACAAGCGAATCTGTGGATGAAGTTAAGATACATGCAGTAAGTGCTGCGCCAAAAAAGACAACATGGGCATCAATAGCTTCGCAGCCAGCAAAACCATTATCGAAAGTATGTTCAGAGTATATTATAATAATGAAAGGAAAGTAACACAAATGTAATGTTTTCATTATATTCGCACGCAGACCATATATACTGCTTCCAGCCATAAAAAGAAGGGCCCGGGCATGCCACCACCCCCAATGGTACCAGGGAAACATAATTTAGATGTCAATGTATGGGAATTGCCAAACAGTAATCCACCGCCAGTACCATCCCCGCCTTTACCAATTGATTTGTCCAGTTCGGAGCATAATTTTTCTGTACCGACTAGCGAAGAACCAACTCCAGGTGCACGTCCTGAAAAGGACGAATGCCACAGGTTGCCCAGCAATAGTAATTTTGGGAACGTTAAACCTTCCCCGAATGGTCAACACCGCAAAAACTGGGCTGCACAGCAGCAGCAGCATCACCAACAGCCAGCTCATCATCAAGAATCGCGACAAGCTAGCAGCTCATCTCAGCAAATTAATCGGCGAATAGCCCCAGTCGCGTCGCAGAATAGATATAACGATCGTAAAGGAAATTTTTCTCGTAATGATTTTGACAAAAACCTAAAGTATGAAAATCGGGATGAAAATATTCCACTTGTTGCACAAAGTGCGTCTGTACCTACAGAGGTGACTGCTGACCCGCAAATATTATTGGACGAATTGAAAGACAAGAATAATTATAACCCTTCGGATATTGATTTAGATAAAGCAGCATCCGCACGGTAAGTAACGGGGACTGTATTTTTTTATGAAAAGTAATCTACAATGAATTTTCTTTTATTTTTTAGATTTTTCGTCATAAAATCTTATTCTGAAGATGACATTCATCGCAGTATAAAATATGAGATCTGGTGCTCAACAGATCATGGTAATAAGCGCCTGGATGACGCGTTTAAGGAACGGCACAAAGAAGGCGGCAATATTTTGCTTTTCTTTTCGGTTAATGGCTCTGGCCACTTTTGTGGCATGGCACAAATGATGACTTCGGTGGATTATAACTCTACATCCAGCGTTTGGTCGCAAGACAAATGGAAAGGGAAGTTTAAAGTAAAATGGATATATGTGAAAGACGTGCCTAATGGAAAGCTTCGACATATTCGACTCGAAAACAATGACAATAAATCAGTGACGCATTCAAGAGATACGCAGGAGATACCAAATACAAAAGGCATTGAGGTGTTGCAAATTCTGCACTCTTATAGACATTCAACATCTATTTTTGATGATTTTTCCCATTACGAGAAGAAGCAGGAAGAGGAAGTTTCGTCGAAGCGACCAACGATTCATGTTGCGGATGGCAATAACCAAGCTCAAGTACCAATCATCCGACATTATATCCGTGATAACGAAGATAGAGAAAGGGAACGAGACGTGCGAGATGTGCGAGACAGTCGTAGCTTAACTAATAATATGACTCAAAAGAATTTTTTTACTGGAGGAAATAATTTCCGCGACCGGAATCCGATACATAAAAGTGGCAGCGGATCCGGAAACTATCATAGTAGCTATAGCGACTATCGACGGGGCTTCGATTGTCAGCGAACAATAAGCGGCGATTATGTATCAAAGGATAGGGAAAATGTGCAAAATGATAGAGAGAATCATTTTGGAGCGCGCCATGGGTCTAACAACAGAAGAGACGACCATCCACATAGCCATTCAATTAAACCCAGATTACATAAGAGGGATTTCAATGAACAAACGAAAAGTGACGTCCGATTTAGAACTGAACTGTCGACATCAAGGGATTTACCAAAAGTATGCAATAACTTGAAAGCATAAGTAAAATATAATAATCCATTTATTTTGCAGACAAATGAAAATGATAGAATGAGAAACACTGACTATTAAGGACTGAGCTGCGGAAAATAACATTTTCAATGATGTCTGACGGACGTTATAAAGAATCCTCATGCCCGTGTGCACCTAAGATTCGCTGATTTCATGTTTAAGATTTTTTTAAAAATTGTGTGTACAAGCAGTAAATCAGAAAGTTAAAATTAAGCTGAAAATAAAGCCAACAACCGATAATTAGGTTTAACTACAATAATATGATAACATTTTTATGTAATTTATTATATTTATATAAATCGATTGACGCTTTCATTGAAACGGTTCATTAAATTTTATTGAATCGATTTGTACACAATTTAAAGTCAAGGGTTTACTTGATTCATTCCTTGTAGCTGCACTGCTAATATTTATAAAACTAATTTTCATCAATATAAAGTGTAAACTGAGTATGTGAAAAAATTAAAGTTACAATTTTCATTATACCCATTGTTGCCTCAATTTCAACAGCACTGATATCAATTTAAATATAATAAAATGTACAATGAAATACTTAAATATTCTGATAATAAAATATTTCATAGCAAATTTCGAATAACACATTTGTGGAATAGCTTCCTATCAAACCGAGGCTTGATAGTTTGTCTCTTAAAGTAAAATGTTTGTTTTATATTTCGAATTGCAATATATCAATCAATTTAAGAATGTGCATACCTTTACACTGAACATGAGATCATGAAAAGTTAAGTATGTTTGCATTTCTTTTTTTATTCATATACAATGAACGGACCAAACCCAACTTAACGATGATATCTAACGGCATAGGTCAGGAACAAGTTGAAATTCTGTTGATGTTTAACTATTATACGTTCCACAACAATATAGATATTACCCTGTAATAACAAGAGATTACTAGTAACCTCTAAAAATGAACAAGACCTGATAATAGGTGTCAACATTCAGTTGACTTATCTCTATCTGTCAGTGATTGTAAATGTGAATGAACGCGTCTCAATCATATGGATGGATGAGATCGTATATCGTATAACTTTATGGCGGTTATATTTGAGAGACTCGTATTAAAATCATCCACTTATAATATTTCCATTAATAAGTGCAACAGTTGAGTTCACTAGCAACGATGATTTAGGCAAATCTTTGCGAGTCATTGCTTTTTTTTTTAAAGCTACGTAACAAGCTCTTAAAATTACAGCAAATGAAATTTTAATAAAATAATATAAATCTCTGTGCTGTGAGATATATTGTATCATAGTCATGTAAATTTTGGAAACTTTTTTTATTTATAATTTTATTTTCATTTTTATAATCAACAGAGCCAACAGGCTCTGTTTGCTACTTTCACTGGAACGGGTTCATTTGCTTATGATGCAGTTAAATAATTTTGAGAGAGATCTATATAAGTATATTAATGCAGTATAAAAGCTCTATATATACATATAAAAATATCTGTCAACCTTACACTCGAGAGTGGTCGACTGTCTAATACTCGCTTGCTATTAAATTGTAGTTAAACAAGTCCAATACTTCCTATATATGTGTGTCATATCATAAGTTTGTCGACAAGATCAACAATGAACAAGGTGCTAAATTTGATCTCTACGTCATATTACGCTACAATACTTGTAGATACGTTTTGGATTAATTCGTAGAGGAACTTCTACATATGGATGCATATTCAATTTATATATCTAAGCCTAATACTACCTAACCATGAAAATGTTTTTGTGCGCAGCCTGTAATTCTTTATTATATAATGTTACACTATATTTTATATTCACAGTCTTTGGGGACAGTAAAACGGACAATGCACACAATCAATAAACACCCTTTAGTTCGTGAATAAAGTATAACAGCTGAGCTATAAATTCTTCTTCCTTCCATCGAAATGGACGGCACTTTTATCTTTAATAAAGTTTCTGAAAAGTTACTCATATAAATAATAATGCTCGCCTAACTAAGGTATACCCGATGCCTTTCTGAGGGTTCCGGCGTTTTTGAAAATTACGGAGAAAGCTTTTACGCTGCTTTTGGGGCTGTAAATGTGGAACACAAACACGTTACTAATGTTATTCCCATGTACGATTGTATATGCGGTGCGTCATTGGATTAAGAGAAGCGGCAAGGCAACGCAGATTTCTCATTAGTTCTTGCCAAACTGTCTCGGAGCTTTGAGTGTTGCTCGCAAAGTAGTTTATTTTGTTTTCGTAATTTCGCTGAATACTCAACTCTAAAATGGATGAGGAACAAATGTGGAAAGGGATCTTCAATAAATTACAAGAGAGCAATGTAAATCCACCCACAGAGCATCAGCATCAGTAAGTACAGTAAAATACAGATATTTCTGTATGTAATATACCAAATTGTCGTTGTCGTATGAATCAGTCTATTCAAAATTGTATATGGTAGAGGCATGTTAATCAGACAACTAATTATAAACTATGTGTATAAATGTTAAAATTTATAATATAAGTAATGTTTCTATTGTAAATATATGGGTGTACATATATTATATGATCTGGCGATAACAAAAAACGAGCCTCAAGTTAGGGCACCAACATTATATACGATGACACATACATATGTATAATCATAGACTCATGTGCACATATGTACATATACAAACATGTGCATATATACACACACATATATACATTAAAAATATTATTTGTGTAGGCCGGGTTTTGTTTGGTTTATTTTTTTTGTGTATTTGTATTTGATGTGTTACTCTTAAATCACATTACAAAACACATTTTGACAACGAAAAGCTTTCGCCCATAGCTATCGATATTATCTATAGTCTTCATCGGCTGTTTATCTGTATTATATTAAATTGTTGCTATGTTTTTAGTTAAGTTCGTGCAACTAAAGATGGCACAAGACATTAGATTGTCATTAAACATAGCTGTGTTGTTTTGCCTCTGAAATCGATTCTATCGGCCGAAAATCCAATGAAATGTGTGGATGTACTCATACATATTGCCTTTGAAATCAAATAATAGTTGAAATGTGAATCTTGTCTAACAGTGCCAACTGAGTACATGTTTAATGAAGATAAGTGTCTCTTGATGAGATGAAATCTACGCTGCATACGCACTCAACCTACCTTAGATCACAATTAGATCACATTAATTTGCATTGTCTTCATACCCTAAAACCCATTGAAATAGTGCTGTTGGCAGGGTATAATGGTTATATTAAATTCATCTAACAGGCGGTATATTAAAGAGTATTAATATACAAGTGATCATTATGGCAAGTAAGATAAGAGAGCCTATCCTATCAATCATATTCATAGTAAAGCTAAATATTTCATATGTTTTATTCAAAACTAAGCTTTCGTTTTTAATTGTTTAAAAGAATAGTTTAAAGGCTATCTAATATCTAGTAGGGACAATAATTCATATTTATAGTTTATGTTTTATTCAAAACTAAGCTCTCGTTTTTAATAGTTTAAAGGCTATCTAATAACTAGTAGGGACAGTAATTCATATTTATAGTTCAAATGGCACCTTAGATAATAGCATTTACATTGTGAAATATATGGAAATATCAAATTTACTCCATTTCCTTTAAGATCGGCGTATTAGGGTTGATAAATTGATTTATTTCACTTTAAATCGGAGATAATACACATAAAAAACTGTCATAAATGCTTCGGATAGCACATTCAACCAATCCAATGCATTGGCTTCGCATGTGTGTGAGCTCATACATACAGTTTGTAAAGAAACATTTTACATGCATAAACTATTGACATACTAAATATACTATATTTTTATTTTATTTTTTATATAAGCGGAATAATATAATAAACTAAATTTACTTTAGTTATTTTATCTGTATATCTGAATATATTGCTTTATGTACATATGTATATATGTATATATATATCATTGTTACTGTAATGTTGTGCATGTGTGGGTGCATTTACATGTGCTTTCCTGCGTTTGAATTGCAGTAAGTAAGAAGTAAGTTGGAATATCATGGTGTGCAAGGTATTTCTCAGTCTGGCACTTGTCATTATGAGCACTCTTACCTAAGGGTACAGATTGTAGTATCATAGGATAGCTTTCGATCTGGTCAACTCCAAAAAGTAAAGACTAATCTTATACTACATAGATATACATATATGTATATACATACATATGTGACTCATAATATATGTATGTATGTATGCATCACTTTGTATGTATGTTTGTAAATATAACTGTGAATGTTATTTCRGATTTCGTGGTTAATACACATACATACATATGTACATACATGCTTGCATACGCACGTCGATGCATTCGTGTTATGATGCACTAATTTCTTTTAGTCATGTACATATGTACATGTGTATTTATGTATGTATGTACGCGTGCACGCTTGTGCGTGCTCTGTATTGTTGTTGTTAAGGGTTGGCAGTAACATGGTTCACGAAAATGAGTATTTACTATGGTTGAGCTTGTGTATGTTAATTAGGTGCATGCATACATACACATGTACATACATATACGTATATATACATACATGCATACGTCCGTATATGCAGGTATATCTTCAAAATCATGAACCATGAAGACATCACACATACAGGCGAAAGCAACAACTATAGTGCGGATGTAACTGGTGCATTTGTATTGGTCTGTTTTGGCCCTATCTTTCAAGCGGCTAACGTACAAAGCTCTTACTGCTCAAACAGTTCTAGCCAAAAGGTCGTGGTGAATGCGTTTGTTTTCGGTAGTTTGTGGTGTTATATTCACGAATTTACTAGAAAATGTAAAGATTGTTGTTATAAATATTGTAAAATAAATGTAAAGTGAGAGCAAATGAAGCTTCTTGACCGCATTAACTTTATTAGACAACACTGTACTCAGTCTATATTGATATGTGGAGACCATAGGTAATATACAACTGGGCTATAAATCGATAGTATAAATAAAGATACACAGCTCTTATAAATTGGAATTACGGCTAGTTGTAATCAAATACATATATGATATATATATGTATGATTAAACATCTAACGAGTGCAATAAAATAGTATATAATAATTATTAAGACAAAATGAAGTATGTCATCATTAACAGTCCGAAAAAAGTTAACAGTACCGCTGGAAGCGGAATTCCCCCGCTAACAAATACTCCGTACCCCGCCGTACCGAGCTTCTGTTTTAAGAATTATGTACTTAAATATGTATATGTGTAGATATTATATCATAACCATGTATTCATTTATACAATTAGGGTAGGCGCTAACCTGATGACGCGCAGTATATATATATTGTCTTTTTTTTTTTTTATACCCTAAACCCATTTTTAATTCAAAAGCAGGGTATA